TAGTTTTTGCTAAAATCACTACCTTCCACGTAAGTTAAAAAAAAAAAAAAGAGAGAAAATATTGTTGTGTCCCATTCTTTGAGCCTTGCAGAGGGTTTGAATTGAAAACGAAATGGAAAATAATTCCACACACACACACTCCACCATATAGGTTTAAATGCAGTAAATAAGCAGTGTGTCTTGTCTCTAACCTGGAGCTGCCGCCAAAGTAATCAAACTGGAATTAGTCTCCCTGCTGCTGCTCCATAGGACGGCAAGCACGAGTGGCTCCACTGCAGATCCATGTTCAGTCGCAGCATGTTGCTGTTTTGTAGCTTTACTTTCCATCTAGTGGTAACTGAAGACTTAAACACTTCTCATACTACTACAAAGTAAGCACACCTCCAATTTATTGGATATGACACAATGTAGCTGGACAACACCTTTACAAAAATACTTGAAAGCTATTATTTCAGATGTACAAATATATAGATGCACGTTCCTCTTCACAAGAGGAAAATACAGAAATCTTATATGTCTCTTTTTTTAAAAAAATAAAACCAATAGCAACAAACCATAAATTATGTCCATCGTGATCTTGAATGTTAAATACAGAGAAATACTAACATGAGTCCAAATATGTCTCAAAGTTAAAGGTTATTTGGCTTTTTATAGGATTTTCCATCAAGGATTACAAAGCCTCTACAAGTGCTAAAGCATTACACATCCAAGTAATCCTTGGGAAAGAAAGCTTTTTGAAGGCAGGGGAGGAAGGTGAGAATAAACATTTTTAAAATATGGGAACTGGCGTGTAGAGGTTGTGTATTGCAAGAGTACTCAGCCTGGTTTTTAACCCTTAGGTGGCGCTTTTCTCTATCATGTAGTTTTCCTTAAAATTAACAGCTATCCTCAGGGAAAAGTTTAAGGACACTTCAAATGAAAATCCTCCTAAAGTAATATTTTCATAATTCCAGAGGTTTGGATTTATTTTTTTTTTATGTCAGATGTTTATAACCTTGCTTTGTGAGCAGACAAATAGATGCATGACCTGAATTATGAAGCTTGAGAAAGGGTAGCCAGTGCTGTCTCCCAGTAAAACGCAAGCTGGCTGTAGCCATCACTATGAACTGCATGTAACAGCAAACCCAATACCGATGCTTTCGTGAAAAATTATTGTATGAAGCGAATTGGCCAGTGCACAATATGACTATATTGTAAGCTCAGCTTTGGGATACAAAACTTCCAACAATACAGGGCATGAAGTGTAAAAGCATGACTATTTTTATCTAGTATATGAAAAACAGGGATATCTGGAAACTGTACATCCAAGATGGAATGAGCAACTTACAGTGACATTCATGTAAGTCTCACCTGTGTAACACAAAGGTCTCTGTACTGGTCTGCCCAGTTATTTCTGACTTGATGACAAAGACATTTAATATCCCCACTAGATCCTTTTCATCCAGTCTAGCCCCTTGTTTGAAAGTACACAGCCGTGGAGTTCACTGATGCAGAGTTCTGGATTCCTGTCAATTGTATGTCTTTTTCCTCAACATAGCAAAAAGAGATTTTAGCACTCAACTGGCTGGGTGGATATTGAAATTGAACTGTGGGAAAATGCAATAGAGTGAGACTATTTAAATGACACTGTGAGAACTTCCTCACTCATATGCCTGAATGCTAAATTGGTGGAACTATTGTACCTGTAGAGGTGAAAGGGTAATTTAGTTTTCGTGGTTAGAAAAGCATGATCTATGACTTGTGATGGTGCTTTTACAATAAGCACACCTCATACTGGCAAGAAACTGCAATGTTGCCAGTTTTAAATGAAAAACTAGAATTAAATGAAAGCTCACCACTCCTCGGTATCCTTTATATTCTTTAAATACCTTCTACAGAGCACTCTGGGCCCAACCCAGGAAAAAAATGCCCACATGTGAGTGAAAAAAATACATCAAGGGAGCAGCACTGCTCATGTACTTAAAGTTATGCAACTGATGCATTAGTTCTAACAGCACTGAAGGATTATTTTCTGAGGATTATTTTCTCTTTAACATAAATTTTAACTTAGGTATTGTCCATGCAGCCACTTTTTGCTGCATGTTTCTGACCAAGGATCTGAGAAGCTATAGTACCGTTCTGCATGCACATAACAACAATCTAATAAATTAATAGCATTCATTGAAAAAAACAACCCTCATAAATGTTAAGATTAAAAAACACCTAAAACATGACTTTTTTTTCCTTTTCATCTTCCAAGGGGGAAAACAGAACTAAATCAAAACCAAACCCTCTGTTCAAGTCAGGTCGTCATGACACAAAGCAGTACAAACATATAAATCCAGCAATGCTGACAGTCAAGCCTGGCAGTATGCACACAGGCTTTTGAGCCATGGAAAGTTGGGAGGGCTTTGGATATTTGCTCCGCGGCTGCAAGCTGACTTACCAGAAGGAAAGAAAGGTCAGCGTGCCACAAACGGCGCGTCAGGCAAGAAAAGTGCGCTTGGAGCGGCGCTGCTGCATGGGTGGAGTGCAGCCCCATCCTCCCCTGCTCTGCGGATAAACTAGCCTGAAGTTTCTGCAGGTAGGAGAGCGCAGGGAAGAAGGATCCCTACAGATATTACTGTTTATGCTACTGTTACTGATAACTGAAATGAATATTTGGTTTTAGATAGGAACACAACAAAGTAGCTGACCTTCCCGATAAAGAAAATTGAGACATATTTACTGTACTTTAAAGGGGAGGGAAAAAAAAAAAAGAGTAAGGTACTAATGAAGCATCGACTGGTCAGAAAATACAAACTGAACTCTCAGCTTCTCTACTGTAGATATAACAAGAGAGAACGTAACTGCAGTGCAGCTAAAAGAACACCTGGAGTTCTAAAATACCTAAGCTTCAGTTTATCATGCACACATATAGCCACACCATTCCAAAGCACCATGGATTAGTCGGAAGTTTCTCAGACTACATTTCCCTCTGTCATGGACTAGCTGTTAACAAAGCCACAATCTTCCTTCCCTAAAGGCTGGTCAAAACTGTTGATCCAGCTAAGACCTTTGAAAACAGGAGCCAAGTGTTTGACCTTCTGTATTTCTTTGAGCACAGCAGTACAGCTGGAATGCAACTTGGTGTGGTAGAGCAGGACAGCTTGCTGGAGCTGGGGATCTCCTCTTCTCTGCACTGCACTGTCACAGCTCTCCAAACACAGCCAGGCACTTAACCTCCAAAACAGTCTTTAAACACTATAAATGTGATGCCTCTACAGAGTTGAGTAGAGCCCAAGGGATGCAGTTGACTTTATGGGTTTGTTTGCTTCACTGAAGCACTAGCAGAAGGCAACACTAAAGGCCTTGGGTCAAAAATACCTAAGCTGTACAGAAAGGAGAGGCTTAGCTTCAGGCATAGCTCACATTATTTAGTGTGAGATGAAGAACTGTTCGTGTTCGCTCAGACAAAAAGTTATGTCTGCAATCTGCAGAAGATAGCAAGCTTTCTAATTATGACACCAGTCTCGTACCTTTAAAATGTAATCAGGCACCTTATAAATGGCAGTAAACAAAAACATCCATCTGCCAAAACCTCTTACTTCTAGCATGCAAAATGCAACATAAGAAGATCCAGCATTGTTATGCCTTGTTCAGTATACTGAGAAGCACTACAAGATGTTTTATTCAGATCTATTTGTAAAGCTTAGGTCAAAAAATACCTTAAACTTTAAACAAATACTAATGCAGAGAAATACAGACAACTAAAAAGCCTCATACTCTCTTAAAAACTCAAAGAAAAAACTAGATGGCTGACGCTGTGTTGGAAAGTCACAGCACATGAGACTTCTACAGGGAAGGAAGCAATCTTGTGTTTTTATCAGTGTTCATGGTCTCTGTGTAATCCACGGTAACGAAATGGAGACCAAAGGCAATTTTATAAACTGGGCTCAAAGCTGGAAGTTCTCAAATTAACACAGTTTTTTTCAGTCTTCAATCACATAATGAACACAGGACTTTCAAATTCATACAGCAGCCACATTTAGCCAAACTTGTTCTGTCTCGTGTAGTGCATTTACCATGACCATGAAGTTCTGGGAGTTTTTTTCTGTGAGTTAAGAGACCTTTTAACCAATACAATTTGAAAATGTTTTTAACCTTTGCTATCTACTCCCAAAAGAAGTCTTTTCTTCCTTTTTGATTATGCCTTTGAGACAAATGTAGAGCCTTTCAGAGTAATCTGCTGTATTTATGGGACACGGTGACATGTCAGCCACTTGGAACAAATTCTAGGGACTGAGTAAAAGGCAGATGTAGGCTGATCCAGGGCATTCCTAAGGCAAACATACTGCCTGCTCCATTTTCTAATTTCAGAATTAGGGTGTTGAGGAATAATTTTTAGTGTGGGAAGTTGAATCTAAGCAGTAACACAGACAGTCTGTTTATTCAACAGTAAATCATGGGGCAATGCCTAAATTCCCAAAGAATGCATGAAAATATTGTTGTTTCACAAAAGTGGAATGGTTGAAATGGACTTTTTTTACTAAGCTCCACAATTACTGAATGCAAATACAAAGAAAAATAAAGAAAACAAAACTTCCATATGTAGAAATAAAGAATTTTGTGTTATTTATTAAAACGAAATTGCTTTAAGGATCACAGTTGAAAGTCAGACTGCAGTGAATATGAGAGAAATTGCTTGTCTCTGGGCAGTTAGAAATGATGAACCTAGTCAACTAACACAAAAGTCTGCTTATACCATTTCATCCAGGGCCGCACCTTTGCAACAACTCTGGCGGGTTTTGTACTACTATGTCAGAATCTCACAAATATTTTTATCCCCAGTCATAATGTAGCTGTTTCTTCATGGCTTTAGGAAATGATAAATAGTAAGGATACCTTTAGATCTACCTTTAGTTGCTAGTTGTCCATATTTATTTCAAGAGTCAGGACGTAATTTTTATAAACAAGTAACACCACTTACATTTTCAATGAGGGGCACCCTGATTTAATCAGGGATACTCAACTTATGTCCCATGGGCCTTTGTTCACGTGACAAGGATAAGTCTATACAGACCAAGCTACACACCATCAACAGTATGCTGTCACTCGATGGATGCATCCAACATGTAATGGGGATGAGCAGAAGCATATAGGCAACAAGTACTCGAGTAAGACTCACCATTTCCTACATTGTCAGAGGATCTGAGTATCATTTTTAGTGACTGGCAAAATTTGTCATATTTTAATAGACTTAGAAATTCTTCTTGGGCTTTATCTGTTTCTCTGTTGTTTGAATATACCAACAATTTACTGCCTTAAATGCATGAGTTGCTCCATATCTGTATCAAAGGAACAAACACCACCACATTCTAATTTTTCAGTCAAATATTCATTTCTATGGCAAAACATGACATTCTCCTTGAATGTATAAAGCTAATTTAGTCCAATTCCTCTTTTACAGTTACCCCAATTAAAATGGTATGTCTTTAAAATATAAAATGTGTAGCTCCATTAAATAGTACTGAAATGAGCCTCGTGTATCAAAATGTTTGTAGTCATATTTTCCATTTCTTTCTGCATTTAATCTCGCTATAATTTGATTTTAATGGCTGTTTGAGTATTCAGCACTGGAATTCAAAACATTAAGATTATTAAGAGTTGTAGTCAGTGAAAACATCTCTATTTAAAGCTTCTGAAATACAGAATTTTAAAGCTGATGAATTTCAGATAGCTAAGTGACTTAGCTTTAAGTGCTGAACTTAGGAAATAACAAAAACCAAAGCTAAGTGGGTTCGCATACACATTACTTATGGTGTAATACACATTGAAATTTTCCTAAGCTTTCCCATTTTTGAAGGAGAGCTGCACTGAATGGTGCAGAAAACAGCACGCTGAACTCAAGAGTTTCAATGCAGTATGAGCACAGACAACATGAATGTGTATTTTCTGGCTAGCACTTCAGTTACTCATGAAGGTATTGCAGTGATGTCTACTTAATTCTGGACAGCTGACTTTGAAAGGATATTTCTGTGAGACAGATTAGGTAATAAAAAGTGAAATATCCATGAGAAAATGTGGGCACTATTTATTTTAATTCCTCCAAAATCTTGTATTATGTACATGCTCACATGTACCCTTGCACATAATGCACTGAAGTAAAAAGTTTACACCATGTCATATCAGAAATTTTAGAGCATGTAATATGTAAGAAAAAATGTGTAACATAACTGTTCTTGGAAATCTGAAAACTCTATTCATTGTCATTCTTAAGCATATCTAAAAAAGCAACCTAGCCGAGTTTACAAAACATTTCTTATGACTGTTGTGATTTTTGCAGTTAAGGAATCAGAAACTCACAATATGTACATCAAGCTGAAACGGCCTGTGTATGTTACAAGTATAAAGCAGTAGGCAGGGTAAGTATGACAAGTATACTGAAGTCCTGACATTTCAAAATCTTGACCAAGATAAACAAACAAAAAATGACCCAGAAATGATCTCTATGATAAGAGAAAAGACATTTCACTTTTTGTGAAAGAGAAGAGGTTTCACCATCCCTGCCAGAATCTTGGGGAGCTGGGCAGCAATCACCTCTGACATCATCTCGGGGAATTCAACACTCAGTGCACGGGACTGGAGAAATGTGTTCAGACAGAAGAGATGGAGCTGTTTCACTAGCTGGATTTAATAAAATACAAACACAATAAATCAGGCTAACAGTAATACAGCCAGATAAGCATGCTGTCAATCACTTATCTCATACATCCATCAGCTGACATCATTATATACCTTCCTCTGTCATTCCTTGAATCAATAATGATGTACTTGTCACTTGCTATTAAAATATCCTCCCATGGCACAAATCACAAACACAGCTAAATGGCACGCCATACAACAACAGTGCCTCACTGATAACGAAACGTAGCATCATCCTCACTCATGGCATCCCCCATGAACAACAGCAATTACTAACCAAGTACACAATCTTTCCCTTTATCCTCACACTCAACACGTCTCAATGCCTTGTTCACTACATGCTATTCAGACACTGCTGAAGGACAGCATTTACTATTTCCTTGCCAGCTTTTCCATGGTTCTGATTATGATCGTATCTGGGTACAACACTAATATTAAACTCCATAGGCCCTCGTCCCTTGAAAGCAATTTCTCACTATATGTGATTGTTTCACCTTTTCTATCTTCTCTGAGAAGTTCCAATTCTGTAGAAGTTTTTCTTTAAGACCTGTGACCTTCATGTTGTCAAATATCATACTATTTCTGCTACCCTAGGCGTTAACAACATGTCGTCTCTCCAGTCTCATGGTCTATCTTTTCCTTCTGTCTCCCATCACTTTATCAGCCCAAGCTGAAATAGGGATTTGAAAGAAGATACTCTACGGACCAAACATTATCCTAACCATCACTTTGCTGGGTATTTTGCAGCAAGCCTCACTCACTTGCTACCACTAAGGCTATTTTGCTTTAAGTATTTGAAACTAAGAGGTCGACTCTACAGCCCAGTACTCAGAGTTTTCCTCAGGATGCTGTGACATTCAGATTGAAAATTATTACTCCAGGTAAGGCAGGAAGACTTTTTGTCCCAAGCAAGACGCATCCAAATAGATTCCTTGAGCACAGGGCTAGTATGAGTAGTATACTGGCCAGGACTTGGTTTTGCAAGTAAAAGGTAACTGACTAAACTACAGGGAAGGGTTTAGCACTGACAGTCCCGAGTGATGACTGCAGTCTGACTACCAGTAAACACTTAAAGCTAAGCTCTCTGTCCTCCCTTCAGAATTTTCTACTGTCTACCTTCACCCGTAAGGATGCTTTTTGTACTTGTCTCATTCTCCTTTTGCTGATATCTGAGACACTACAGTAGCTAAATGGTGAATGTGAGTTCTGTGGATAACAGAAGCTGATGGAAAGGTTCGTGCACTGGATCAGAAGACTCCAGACCAGCTGGTGAACCACATAATTATCAATATTGTTACCTCTCTTAACACTCATAAATGAGATCCTCAAAGGGCTTTTTTTGCCCATCAGAAGAGGGAATTAGTGACAATGAAAGGTTCTAGATGAATAAATTTATTCACGAACAATTAAAATAAAAAACACATTTGCTGAGCGCAGAATACAAACATGAAAAGACTCCACCCTTCCCTGAACTCCCTGCAAGCTCCTCACCACAAACACTGAACTCAAAAACACTCTTCCTACACTATCTTAGTGCCACTTCCCCAGTGCTTGCTAAAACCGTCAGGTATGGCCCTGTACCTCTCCTTTTTGCCTCTCTTGCAGAGATACACAAGCCATTACAAAACAATATTCACACGGGCGAAGGTTTATACGAGATGTCATTCCTCAGTTTTAATGGATGTTAAGCCAATAGGATACATGCCAGATTCTCAGAGATGTGGAAAGGATTCAGCTGCATCTTTCAAGACACTTATGAATCTCTATGATATCACCACAAGAGTTCTCAAAGATTACTCAATTCCCAAATACAGACAGAAACCGGAAAAAATGGCATAGAATATACTCTTAAAAGTAGTTGAATTAAGGCTGCAAAACCAATCTCGGTTGTCTTTCTCTTAGTAGCCTGACTTTGCAACATGAATTGCCTAGTCTTGGCATTATTTAAATATTTTCATGAACATGTACACACATGTGGACACACATACACGTGCCCCCTACCAAAAACCATAACTGTACTTGTTACATTACAGAAATAATGAAACAAAACAATAGCATTCAAATGTGTGTTTCTCAAATACTTAAATCTTGTGTTCTCTAATACATATATACAATATGTATTGATGCTGAATATATAGCTATCTATTCACACAAATATATACAGTAAATGAAAAATCATAGAATCATAGAACCATAGAGTGGTTTGGGTTGGAAGGGACCTTAAAGATCACCTAGTTCCAACCCCCTTGCCATGAGCAGAGACACCTTCCACCAGACCAGGTTGCTCAAAGCCCCATCCAGCCTGGCCTTGAACACTGCCAGGGAGGGGGCAGCCACAGCTTCTCTGGGCAACCTGTGCCAGTGCCTCACCACCCTCAGCGTGAAGAACTTCTTCCTAATATGTAATCTAAATCTACCTTCTTTTCAATTTAATGTAAAAATGTAGGTGCTTTATTTTTGCTGTTTAGAAATGCTGACTAGCAACTTTCCATAAAATTACTTTTAAGAAATACTAGTTCCTTCCTACATAAAAAGCAAAACACATTAACAAGTAAACTTACATCATGCATGGAATCCATCAGCTTTGTAAGTTGATAGAAACGTTGCGAGTTGGCCACAACACCTTTCTGGCGCAAACCAATTGCCTTCACCAGTTCTCTAATGTAACTCGTTCTCATCTCATCAAATTGGCTTTGACTTCTTAGACCTTCCAAAGGAACTAAAAAGAAAGTAACATTTGTGTTGCAATTTATTCTGAAGGCAATGAAGGAAATTTAAAGTACAGTAACAATTTATAGTATTTCACACTGTGCAGTGCAATTAATTATTATATGCCAGGTACTTCTTCCCACTCAACAGTCACTCCAGAAACAGTGATACAATCAGTTACAAGGATATACCAGCAACAATCAGTCAATTCTGCGAAGTGCTGATGTCTAGAAATAGCCTTAAGCTTCATCTACACCTATCTGCTGAAAAGAAGATGGACCAAAGAGCCACTCCTGTCCTTGAGGAAAGATGTTATAGATAGGCTCATGTTTACACTGCTGAGGGTCAGCCCACTTCATAGCAGATTTATGTTAAGAGAGATCTAGCTGGAGTGCTTTAAAATGGGGTCAAGGAATGAACTAACTCAAATAAGTGCAGACAGTAAAGCATCGAGGGCTCAGGCCTCCTGTTTGGACCTCTTTCCTTGGACAGAATAGATGCACTACCAGAGTCTTAAATGTGAGCAGCTTTTTAGAGAAATAGGCAAGGAGAAGCAAATGGTTGAACTCACTGCTAATGGTCAGCTGTGAGGCCCAGATGAGGACATGGAGAGAACATTGAGAAATAAACCTGTTAGTGACTGCTAGTGATAACACCATATTTGATCATTGATCATAAGTGTTGCTATTTCATAGGAGACTGCCCGAGAGAGGAAATGATCCCATTTGCCACGGTTGTCTCTTGCTCAGTGTCTCCTCAGACAACTAACTGAATGTTTGGGGGAAGGAGTGAGACACACATACAGAAAATAAGAAGTTTACTTTAAAGGTAAGTGTATAAGCACTGAGCTGGGCTATGGAAGTCAGGGTCTGACTCCTAACTAAAACAGAATTCAAACAAAATTAGAAATTGTGACTGCTTCCACAGAAAGTACATTTATAACACCGTATCTAACAATAGTCCAGCTTTCAGGGATGCTATGTTAGCTTTGTTTTGGAAGATGATGGAGATGAAATGCTGGATGAGGTGGGCTTTTGGTTTCACTCAGTATGGCCTCTCAAGTCCAGACAGACAAAGGAGGTGTCTGAAAGCATGCCTGTAACATCTACATCAAGGGTCTGAATGGAAGGGACAAATTCTGGTTTGTAAAGAATGCAATGTGCTTAGGAGTAACATAGGCAGGAATACTCACAGTGGGGAAAAGTCATGTCATGGAAAAAGAACAGCTTAATATCTAAAGCCTGGATGGTTCTGGGTATGTCTTAACAGGAGATTCACAGACATCTATGACATCTTTTTCATATAAAATGACATTCTGATGGAATTTAGGGTTAGGTGGATGCTATCTTTGACTTCTGTCTCTAAAACAGCAATGAACAGGCGTCTCTTCCAGCAATGAATGGCCTGTTTCCTTAGAATTCGGCAAAAGCACAGTCACATTCTCATCTAAAGTTCCACTAAGCTATTTATTTGAGTGAAGAATTACAGTGTCTTACATGCACAAATGCAACTTAAACATAGGTACCTCAAATGTTCCTTCCCCCTGAACATATGTGAAGAATGCGGATACTTTTACTCAGTGGCAAGAACTCAGCCAAAACCTTACGCAAGAAGATTTTGCAATTCCTCTAAATTAAAAGCCTGGAAAGTGTTAGAGCTATAACTGAACTTGCTATATGCTTTTTTGGCATAGTTCTACTTTCTTAAATCGTATTCTTTCTGAACTATTCATAATATTATTTCCCAGATGTATGGGGCCTCTGCAAGATGGAGCCCTATTTAAAACTTACGGGACACTACTACCACACAGCATGTTACATACAGTAAAAAAGGATCTGTAAAATGGAAACAGTTGCAGAAAATAAAAATGTTGGTCCACTTTTTGCAAAGATTAATTCTACTTTCAAAACAGCTTTAAAACTGTCTACAAGTAGAATATAAAGAAAACATCTAAGCCACAGCAAACTCAATGGAAAAACTGTAAAATCAAAAATAATGTTAAAACTTAGGCTGGGGGGTCCATTCAGAATTAGAAATGGATTGAGACTGTCATTTAGTTATGTTTAATACAAATTACTGTTTCTTTGAAATTATATAAAAAGTAAAAACCAGTTCATCTAAATAATAAATCAAAGCGAAGACAGAATGAGGGACTAAAAGTTCAGACTTGATTTACTGTTAGTGTATGAAAGCTTGAAATGGCCATACTTTCACATTTCACAAGGATTAAGATGAATACCATGACTAAAATAAAAGTAGTCTTAAAAAACACTTTAAAGCAACAACGAGGGTATATGGTATTTTGAAAATAGTTTTGCAGAATTATATTTATACAGTACCAAACGTTTACTAAATGTCTCAGCAACAACGGTTAGATGTGTTCCTTTCCCAAACATCTGACAAATTGTTTTTTCCTATAAGACAATAAGTGCAGGAGAGAACAAAAAGCAAAACTCATCAGCACAGGTAGAAATACTTTCTTTTTTTTTCAACTCATTTCTTGCATATATATAAGCATATCATCTTAAATATGAGTTTCTGAGCACAACGCAGTTGATAAAGAATGGTAGCTTGAAGATTACTGTCAAACTGAGGCACTCATAAATGAGAGGCAGTGGACCATTGTACAATTTTTTTTTTAACTTGTTTTGAAATTTCTGGGACAGAAATTGATAGCTGGAATATCACAAATGTATCTAAATTTCATTGAAATATAAAATTTCCCTCGAAGATTCAGATGATAGACAAGTGAGTTCATCTGTGATGAAAACAAGGTGGAAAACATTTAAAATAGGAACGCATTCATATTCCAACAAAGCAACTGGATTTCTCTCAGAAAGGGATTTTTGTCCACATTATATTTATTGCTTTAGAAGAGTGTATGGTATTTTTCTATTATTTTAGTAACTTTTATCTTCATATGAGCTGAATTTACTGTTTACTGCTTATGCTCTGTTAACACCAAGGGTTTTTTAAGCATGAGCTTGTGCAAATATCAGCCAAGTACAGCTTAGCAGGGAATAAATTTTAGTTCCTTATCTTTTACTGAAACTTTGTACAACCAACAAGCAGTTTATACAGGATTTGCACCTCTCCTCCAATCTCGTAAGTGTGCAGAGAACAAAAACAACCACATTTCTCAAAGTGCTTATTCTCATTACTAATAGCTTCTGTACCATTTTAAAAGTTTGTATTTGGGGATTCATAACTAAGAATTATGTTCTCAGGAGATGTAAATTTTTGTATTTTAGAAAAGTTTTTGAGGTTTTGGAAGATAACTTCATCAACTACCACATTTCCCATTTAAAGTGGAATGAAGCTGTATGCTGGATTCTTTAAAAGACGTGTATAATTAAAAGTGATCACAGTTTTGTTCTAGAGAAACAAACCAAAGCAAAATAATTCCATTTGTTTATATCTGTGCTAAACTTGACCTATTTATAACTACAAAAAGTTGAATAAATATTAGCGTTGTTTGCCATGTCCACCTCTAATTCTTTTGAGTAAGCATGCGTGAAGTTCTTGGCCAAGATAAAGCCCTCAGTCCTGGCAATTTATTAAGTATTTTTTAATATATTTCTAATGCTTAAATTATTTTTTTTTAATCTGTGTAGAGTCATTTAAGCTGAAGAGCTCCCAGGCAGAAATACTGGAAACTTGATTTGAAAATGTGTAATACAGTGTAGCTATATATCAAAAGGGATCCAACATTTCCCCGGTGTCTTTATACAGAATAAACCCAAGAATGAATCACAAATTATTTGTTCCTTATAAATACTAGAAAAAATATTTTTAAGTCTCAGAATACTGACATTCCTCCTAAAGAAGTTTCCATTTGTTAAGCCAGATAGCTTAGCAACTGTCAAGTTAAACAACACAGTCAAAACTCTTTTACTAGGGATATGTTACAAAGAAATAAAAGAACCTACTTGTGTTGAGAAGTAACAGTGCTTTCATACATAGGAACTCTTCTTGGCTAACTTGAAGTCTGACAAATTCCTGTGGGAGTTGCCACATGGATAGACACAGGGAATAGAACGATGATTCTTTCATCCTCTGTCTTACACCCAGAAAAGGTAAAAAAAAAATTAAAAAAACCCATGAAAATAAAGAAAAAGAACTGCTCCGGTACTAATTTTTTTGAAGGAAGTGCCTTGTTAGCAGTTTAAATACCACATTACAGAAATTAAAGAGCTTATACACGTAAACTATTTTCTGACTTTTTTGTACCTACACTAGTTTTTCAATTGTAATGAATGCGCTATTATTTTGGATATATAATCTGTTACTGCTGCCCCGAAAAAAACCTTGGAGACTATCAAAGCTGAATGCTAACCACCAAAAAAATCATAGAATCATAGAATGATTTGAATTGGAAGGGATCTTAAACGATTAATGTGAAGTAGGTTTTTTTTTCTTTTAGAGAATCTTTTAGATTTTTACATTGTCTGAAAAGATTTCAAAGCATAAAATTGAAGATAAACCTGTTCTTTTGCAAAAATGTCTGCACCAAAATACTTTGTTGTAAGTCTAACATTATACTGCAAACAGCAATGATATTATTTTGTAGCATTTTATGCCATTAAAGAAACAGTTAGAATGTTACATGTAAACATATACAAAAAGATTTTAAGTAAACTTAGACATTAATAGAGCCTTATACAAACTCCTGCAGAAGGAAACAGGACAAATAACACAAGTAAATATATAAATACCTGAATATATAAATACACTGTTTAGTTTTTTGCAGCACTTCGATCTTACTTTTCTCTTTGAGATTTTGGTATACTGAGTCTATTTTATTGCATATATTTATTGGGAAGGCAGTTTTCAACTGAAATGACTGCAACAATAGCTTTATATAGTTTGTAAGCTAGACTGAATTCATCGTACGTTAACCTGAAGATCCAGTGACTTGGGCTAATTTTACAAAGTTGCATTCCCATCCAGATGAATTAGGTACAACAATGACAAAGTTAATTTTGACCCCCCACTCCACCGCCTATGAAGTTCAGATCAGCATTCCAACGTGACTGCAGACAGTACCCTCAACAATGAAAACAGAGGATATTTTCTATTAATTTGCTCAATGCGTTGAGTTTTTTTCTTGTTAAAGTGTTACTGTCATCTTAAATGAAAATTATTTCAGCTTTGTTCAACATCAGGTATCTTGTACCAGCTCTTAAATTACTTAAATACAGAAATTTAATCTGTTAGATCTGAATGGACTGGTTACTTCTGTATCTACTTTAAATCTCCCTTCCTATCCCTTTCTGGTAGTCTCTATTTCTCATTATTATCTATGAAAAGTGAAGAGTGACAGCAGCTTTCAGGGTATGCTTAAATGCTGTTCTTAGTCATGTTCTCAGACACTGCAAAGTACACGTGTCAGTAAATCCTTGTAGGGTTTCAATACTAATTCAGGAAATCTTTGTCAAACTAACACTCCTGGCTTTCCTGATCGGAAATGGATGCTACTAAACAAGCCGTTCACAAGGAGCACTACAATTCGTTTTTTGTTAACTGACAGCTTGGCTGTGAAACAATCTTTGGATTGCGGTTTCATGGTCATTTTGAAACAACTGTATTGCCCCTGTAGAAGGAACTTCCGCTCTTTCCACCTCTAGGTGTGCACTCCTGCTAGTCTGGCCTTAGTGTCTGCCCTCCCACGTAGTGAGTCAGACCAGGGACCACCTCCACCTGCTAATTAATGGTTTTTTCTGGGGTATGTCTCAAGCATATAATTTCCTTATCAGCTTGACAATGCAGCCAGATAGTGTTTGATCCAGCTTAGGTGAATCATTGGGACGCACCAGCGGAGCAGGGAGGCAGATGGACTTTTTTGGCAGTGTTCAGCAGTTACCTTTGCTCAAAGTGATCATGAAAGTACAGTCTTAGGCAGCATCATAGCTGATTACATTTTACTGATCTAAAAGCTAACTTATTTCCCAATAAATAGTTGCAGCTACGATTTAGTGTGCCGGTTACTTTTCATGTCTAATTCTTTGTTTATAACATTTCTAATTTGACCTGATAAGATGTTCTACAACCAAGAGAAGGCCGTGTCAGTCCACCTCTTTCTCAATGTAGATGGTCCTGAGCTGCAAATAAGAAGCTATCTCTGAGGGATTATATTCAGGGTTCAACCCTATTCTGGAAGAAAGTACTTAAAGTCTTCTTCACGAGGTGGCAGCAGTGGTCCACATGCAGGGCAATACTTCAAGACATGCCATTACTGCCTAAAGCCCTCTCACTGTGTTTTTTCTGAATATAACCATGGGAAATATCACAGACTATGCTAGGACAGAATACAGTCAGAAGATCTCTCAATCTCATCTCTGCAAAGTATTTCAGTTTGTACAGTATAATTAATACACATGGGAGAGGAAAGAATTCATTACTCTGTAACTTCACAGTGATTTACAGTCATCTGGAAGAGAAAAGGTCAGGGGCCATAGGGCCTGCTCCACTGAATATTTTCTATAAAGAACTTCACTGGCAAGAACTTGCATGTCTATAGATTTTTTTAATTCAGGTGCCTAGATCTTCTGCAAATCTACCTCTTAATCTTTAAACAGATATGTCTTACAAGAAAACCTGTTTAACTTTCATTTCACTTCACAGTAGTTCTTTTAGGATTTAAAGAAAAAATAACTAAGAAAAATGTATTAAAGAAAAATAAATAGGCAGAGTAAATTATGTTTTACTGTTCCTGGAAACATCCTATGTACAATAACTAATGTAGCTAAAATTACAGCATAAACAATACTAATTTGCAGAGCTGAAAAACTGACAAAGACTGAAATGAAGATTATCTGAATTAATCAGCATAGTGAAGGAAAATCTAAGCCAACAACCCCCCCTCAAGCCATAAAAGAGCAGTCTCAAATATTTTATCCTTGATACTAACATTCCTTCTTGATAAATTATTACAATTTTCTAACAAGAAATGTACTTCAGAAAAGCAGAGTTTTATAAGAAAGTGTCAAAACTGAGTATTTAAAATATATATAAACTATTTGCAAAAACCACCCAAATACCAATGACCAAAGAAAATCCCACTTAGTTCCATTTATTAAACATTAACTCATGTCTTATTCAGATGAATTCAGGTAAATCTTCTGACAGTATCATTATGTGTTGTTTTTTCTCTTAGATAATTAAAATATTATTTGAACTCCTTTTGTTTGGCCACGTCAACAGAATATTTGGAATTCCCAGAAAACCCTTCCCAAGGTTACGAAACTTCAATATGATCAGAGGACTTTCCTCTGCTGTTAATCTTGAAATGGAACAAGTAATGAAGAAATCTCAGCCTCATTGAAGTCACACTCTCATTGACACAAGTAAGCTCGAAATGTCACTCACGTTATGCAACAGCGGAGTCTACTTACTCATTTAGAATCAGATCTGGTGCAAAATATAACATCTGACCACTGACATGTTTGTATGATCTCCATCCCATTGCAAAAACCATTAGACTCATCCAGGAATACTGGATGAGGGTTATCTGATCATCAATATGCAAATTCCGAAATCCTGGAAATGAAATTAAAAGTTAAAATACTTTGTAATTCTCATTTAGACAACAGCAGAGTAGGTTTTCTGAGATTTCAACTTTGAGCTATACAACTGAGAATACCCAGAAAGGCAAGAGCTTCTGAGGATGTAGCTCTCAGAAGTTTGTATAATAACTGGCTATGTTACTTTGATAGTTAACCTCTTGTCTTTTTGTTCTGATCCAATATTTTGAAATGATGAAACCAAACTTAACTTTAGCAGTCAAAAAGTGCTATTTCAGGAAATAGGAATACATCTCATTTTCCTTTGGTAAAAATATGACAGTTTGCAACGGGATCACTGTAACCAACCCTTATTTAATATAGATAGCTTGGACTTCAGTGTTCTTAACCAGACATACAGCTGTAATACAATAAACATCCACACATTAATATCTTTCTTGCATTTAACTAAAGAAAAGCATATTCAGCTGTGTATTTGCCTCTGATAACTTACAGACTTTGACGACTTCAAAGATTGCTATGAATTATCTGAATCAATCCAACAGCTTCCTGCCACTGAAAGCAGTGCTCCTGTTCTTCATTACCTGGTCCTGTCACCTCCTTCAAGCAAGCTCTGGCATTCATGCTACCCCTCAGTGAACTGGTTCAGCTCATGAAGCCATCAGAAAACTACAGAGGGTAAAAAAAAAATGTTTCTTTTCTTCTCACTAAATGAGATGAATCAGTTCAACCAAGATGTCTGACAAGTGCAAGCTGCAATGGGGTAGAGCAGTGATAGGAACTACCCTTTCCTGCAGCAGTGAAGTATCAAATTGAGCTCACATGAAACCGTATTTTCCAGGCTTTCTGCTCAATATATTGATTTTTTTATATATCCCAGGATCAGGTCCCTATGACCACAGAGCACATGTACATACGTAACATGGATTTTTTTGGGAAACCAGTCTTGGATCTTCATAAATTCCCTTACTTGCCATTACCAGTCTATGAGTTGCTTAGTCCTAACCGGTACTATTTATTACAGCTTTTGTCTGTTGCTTTCAAAAATTCATTTTAATAAGACTAAGAATAAAGAATATGCAGGAATATAAACATATTTTAACACCAAAAGAACGAGTAACAGAGTAGGAGGAGTTGGGGTGGAAAGGCTGCTATAATGATCACATACAGGAACTCTCTGGACTTCTGTTGTTTTTTTGGAGTGAGTCTAAATATTTAGATGCATTCCTTCAAAAATACCCCCCTATTAAAATGTATTTGATCAGACATATTATCTGATGAAGTGGAAGCTTAATAATTTTAGAATTTGTTAAGACTTAAGTAACAGGCAGACAATAATATTCTCTTTTGACTGCTCCTCCTATGATATATTTGCTTAACTAGAATTCACTGCATATAAGAAGTGCTATTACCTGGTAGCAATTTAGACCATTTGACTACGCAAAGTAGTTGCCTCTCACAAAGATGATTTAGACTGGTCAGCAAGGAACTTGGTGTTTCGGGTTTTGTATTGTCATAACCAGCATAGACCACTTCTGGCTCAATGCCTCGTAAAACACTTATCATTGGGGGAACAAACGGTATTTCTTGATTTGGAGAAAAGGACAGCCTTTGAGTTAGAGATTGGTTTTCATCTTGAAGGGTTGCTGGCTGCTGGAGTGCAACATCTAATGTTCTCACAACCTTAACTTTGTTCAACTTTTTAAATTTTCGACCTGAAAAAGAAAATTGTTGATCTGTTAAAAAGATTTCACCAGAAACATTACTATTTTCCAGTAGTGCTGGATTACACTTTTAATCTATAAAAGGAAACTAGACCTGTCTTCGGAATAAGTTTTCTATTTTTTGACTATTTATATAATTAAGAAATAATCACGGAAAATTCTTAAGAGTTTCTCCCTCCATATCCTCCTCCCTTCACTAAGAGATGAACTGCACCCACCCATTAAAATTATTGCCATGAATTCTAGGTTACAGTAACCTCATAAAGCATTTTCTGGTTCGGTTCCCACTGTTCCATCATATGCTGACAGCTGAGCCAGCTGGCTCTAGAATTCAGCTTCTATTCAGTGTTAATTAAGGATACTGTTTCTTTTTTCTCCCCAATATTCAGAAACAAAAATGCTAGTAATTAATTACTACACACAGAAATTCCTTTCCTCCAGTCCCATAAAAGCATTTCAGTCTCATGGCTAAATTCTGTTTTAACAATCTGTAATGTAATATTTTCCTTCTGTTTACCAGAAAGAAAATAGAATTCAGGGGATCAGTGAAATGCCAACAAATACTGTAAAACCACATGTCAACACTTACAAAACTCTTCACTCTCTAAAGAATAATTTTTCTTTCTCAGTATTTGCAATTCTTATTTCCATACTGCAGTGGTTTGAAGAACGCTAACTGAAAAAAAAAATAAATGGCTGAATTGCCTTCTCAAAATAAGCATGGATACTACATCTGGTATAGCTATGGAAATATCCAGAGCTCTAGGTAGCAACTCTTCAAATTTCTTTCACAGAAACAGTCTGGCAGTGTACCATATAGACAGAGAAAATCAAACTTTCAGGGGTTCAAAGAGAATAACCCACAGTGACATATTATCACATTACAAGTTTCAATAAAAAGACAAATCCGCGTAGAGGTGTCTGCTTTAAATAGATCCTCAAAGGTGATGAAACCCCTGTTAGATCATTAGTTCTGCCAAACAAGTTTGGCTTAGTGAAAAAACAGATTAAAAATGCAATGAAGATACTGATACTTATATTCTGATTTAGATGACAGTGGGACAGTAAGAGAGGCAGGTGGATGGGAAAAAAAAAAAAAGGTAAATCACTCTGCTAACAAAGAAAACCAAAAAGTTTACATGTTTCAACCTTAAAGAAAACAATAAGGAAGAAGAGGGTTTTGATCCAAAAAACACCCAGAAATCACATGGATATTTTTACTTGTGGAGGTGTTGCATACTTTAACAGTAGTAGAAAAATATATGCACCAAATTTCACTGGATGAAAAAAAAAAATCCATGCCTATCAAACTGCTGAACCACTGAGAAACTGCATTATAAAATGGCAATATGCAAAACCCACTCTAAAAGTACAGGAGGTGAAAGGTAATAAAAGCATAACAGTATGCATCTATTTGGTTGAACTAAAATCCAGTTTATAACATGCATATCTAATCATCTTTTGAAAAATGGTGCTTTTATTTACAAGTGAAAGATTAGACAAGGGAACTTATCACATCCTAAAGGAAGGGGACAAAGACTTCTCCATCTCTTACTGCCTCCTTTTTATTCTAGCTAAAAGTAGTGCCACATTGTCAGAATGCAACCAGTGCACCAAAGAGGCCCTAGGACACGGGAGTAGGGAAGAACACCTAAACTTTGGCACATGCTCTGAATCCAATCTCAACAACTTAGGGAAGGAATCAAGAGATGCTGGCACAGTCAGACTGATCTATTACTTTCCTCCTTGGAAAGTCCCAGTCTTCCATACAACACTCTAAAACAGAAAGGTTTGACACAAATGGCTTTACTTAGGAATACGTCTATTCCATTTTCTTCAGGTGCTCCCATATCACAGAAGACAGCATATTTTATGAAAATCCAGTGCCTCCACTTTGGAAGACCTAGGATGTACACTTCAGGGAATTAAACTGAGTTTTTCAAACCATTCTTTAGTACATGGGTAGTGTAACTTCAAGCAAGATTAATACATCAAACATGAAAAGATCTTATGACATTTCTAAGTATTTATACAGAACAAATTCTGTTACTTAAATTCATTATTCTTGATGCACACTGGCATAACTGGAGGCAGAATCAATCCTCTTTGTAAACCAGACAGGATTGAGCAGATGAACACAATCTAAAAAGCCAAAATCTGCTTTATAAAAAAAAAAAGTTTGTGTTATCTCATCATTAATATGCACGTTTATGCATTTCACATACAAAAAAGTTGTACACAAAAGTTCAAAATGTCAATTTAAATTAAAACAGTATTTACAATCCAAAGGGAATATACCAAACAAAATTTCCAGAAACACACTTTACTGACAGCACAAATATGAATGATGGGCTCCTCGGTACCACTTATCATTCAATGAATTCAGGGGTCATACTGCCACTAACTTAACTGTGAGCTTAATTACCTTAGTATCAAGTGCCCCATCTTAGGCTCATTTTATCACTTGTGGTAAGAAAGCAAATATTTCTGCTAAGTGACTCCTTAGTAAAGAACCACACAGAAAGTTTCACCTTATGTTACAGCTGAACCAAAAAAAAAGCCTCAAAAGAATAGACAATATATTATGACAAGAGACCTAGGGCCAATTTCTATCATAACAAAGCTATACATAGTCCTAAACATGCTGGGAATTTCCCAGTAATGATTGTTTAGGCATGAAGGAAAACAGAAGGAACAATGCATTTGATAGTTCATAAATAATGATTTCAGGTATTTTCTGAAATAATGGCTTCAGATACTTTTACAGTTCAGAGAACAAGTAAAGAAAGAAACCAAACACAGTGACTATCACATGGAAATGTTAGTAGTTAATAAGTACTGATGTTTCCAAGTGATTAAATGCATCAGAATTAATGTCACACTGGTTTGCAGAATGGCTTATGTGTTTATTTCTAATTCTGTTGCTTAACAGCCACGAGTAAAGCAACTCCACTTGTTACCTGTCTACTGGAGAGGTGACTGCTAATAACTCAGAGTAAACTTTCCAATCTACCACAAGGAGACCATGTCAAATTAATGTGAACTCTTAAGGATATAAGGAAAACAACAGATTTGACAATAGCTCAGTTGTTCAATTGCTGCTTACAAAAATATCCAAGTAAGTTCCTGCTGTAAGATAACCAAATGTCTCCACTCAGTCCTATAATGTGTAAAGAATACTAATCCACTCTGGCAACTATTCATCTTAATCCTAAAACCTGCCTGTGCACATTTAGACAGCACACCTTTTCTTTGTAATTTTTTCAATCATTTTTTTAAGATTGCCAACAACTCAAGCAGTATCTTAGTACTCACAGTTCCCTTACCCTCGATTATTACAAACAGCATGTGTATAGTGTTTGTGTACTACATGTACCTAGAAAAAATAAAGAAATTAAAAAAAAAATCTACTTAATCTCATCATCAAACGTATTACGATTTTCTCCCTAATACATAACTCAGTATTTTAATATTCTTTTAACTAGGTATACAGAACCAAACTGCCAATTAGACATTACTGATAGTAGACATTTCATACTAAAATGTCGGGGATTCTCATAAAAGTCTAACATCTCACCATCCTTCTCCATACCCTGTAATCAGGTGAAAAATGTCAATAATTTATTATTCTTGACAGAACACTATGGCTCTGACTTTGAGGTCACCATGCTTTTGCGTTTTGTGTAGGAGAACAAGATGTCTACACCTTAGGAGGGTGTATACAAAATAAAGGAACAAAACAGCAAAGCAGAAGTAATGCATCTTGATTTTATTAAACCCTTTGATGTTACCTCAGAAAATATTACCTGGAAAATTAATTCAAATTTGTCTGTATGTCACTGTAGTCACTGCAATCCTGACTGACAGCTGACTGAAACAATGAAGAAAGCGACAATTTAGCAATACAGCTGAACAAGGAATCTGTGACAGTCAGCCTGGGAAAATTACAGATTCACTGACAGGAAATAAAAAATTTGGGTATTTGTTTATTCCAGGACCTGACCCAGCTATCTGTTATCCTATTAGGTAGAAGATTAGAAAGGAGATAGATTAACATGTCCAGTTATGAGATTATAAAACTCAAAGACAACTAACACTCCCACAGAGAATGACAATTAAGGAATTATGAACTATATGCTTTCATTGATACTTTCCTTCTATATATTAAGAAAGAAGAAACAGTCTATATAATGAAATTGGTTAGTAAAGCTATTTGTTGCTATTCTATAACTAACTTACAAATTACTACAATTTATTTTAGAAAAATTCAGGTTCATTTTCTTGCTTTAAAATTAGGGTTGGAAAATGGAACTGCTGACAATGTAATATAATCTATTCTCTATCTATATGATTGCCACCCAGTGGAAGTTAAGTCTACTTCTCCCAGCAGTAAGTTTAATTTAATTAACATAGTAAGAATCTTCAGAATCTTATAGTTAACACCCTGTAAAATAGTAGTCTTTCTCACCTTGATTAAGCAGTATTGGAGGCCTGTGTTTAGCAACTGAAGGCCAGCATTAAGAAACAAAGTAGCAGGAGTAAAAGAACAAAAGTATATGTATGTAAGTTCTGAATGGTAGAAATCAAGAAAATGCACCAAAAATCTTAAAGAATAGTAGGCTGAAAACACAAGAAAAGATTTAATGTATTGACAATTGTGATCGTTTACAATACTCAAGGACATAGCTACGTATGGAATTTGTTCCATGGCTTGCTAATTTGCTTATGGACACTTTTGTCCTGGGGAAAACTATCAAAGCTGAGTAGCATCCCATGTATGAATCATACAGTGTTGACCAGCACACCAAGTCATGGGTAGGAAATATTGCTCTTGTGATACAGTAAAGGAAGTATCAGAAATGGCAGAAAAGCAAAAGTAAGAAAGATAACAGTAACAGTGGAAAGAGCATTACGGTTAAACAGTCTACCCTGAGACTTTTTTTTTGGTTTGAATTTTAAGTCCTCATTTACAAATAATATAATCTCACCCCAGTTTTCCTCATTTTTTTAGCCTAAATTTGTCTATTCTTCTCCTTTCAGTATTAAGAGCTCCAATTCATCCTGCACAGGATAATTAGCTTCCTAATCCCCCCTGAACTGTTGAGATCACTAAAAGCACCTGAAACACTACACTTGATGCAGCTGAGAAGAGAGATGCTACAGTCCTGGGTCCATTCGATATTTCCTTTTTTCCACTGCCCCACTGTTCTACTTCCTATTTGCAGCTAGATGACTTTTTTCCAGAAGATGAGGTAGGTGGGAATATCAGGGCAGAGATCTGATGATATGCCATGAGCCTCTGAGAACTAGAGCAACTACACTGGAACAGTCTCCTCAAAAAACAGAAGACAGCTTTGATTAAGTATGTTTAGAAAAAAGGCTAAAGAACACAACAAACTGCCTACGTAGAACATCCTAGCACTAAATACAAAGAAACTATTCACACTTGCTTAGTAATAGCTGATAAAAAAGGGTGATCCAAAGAGAAAGAGGAGTTTTCACTCTCTTCATACATGACAGTAAAGAACTAAGAGTCAGAGCACTTTTACCCTTAGGTTTCGTTTTCAAGTACAAGGACATAACATCCTCATATGAAGACACACTAATGAGGACACACTATCTCATCAGTATTGTGAGCAAAAGCATACTTTTTCTGTTTTAGGTACCTACAGCCAGAGCAAAATGTATATATTAAAAAACTCTAGGAAAACTAGCATCCATGAACACATGCAAAATGTAAAATGAAGTCGAGCCTTCTGACTACTTTTCCTACGTAGAATTACCATGCAGAACAATGCTGAAGCAAAAGGACTAGATGATCCTAATGAGTCATCACACACTCTTCTGCTCGTTGAAACTGTGCTGCCTGTGATGTTAAAATACTTGGGGTTTAGTTATTGGCGTTATCCAGTACATGAAAATTCAGGTTAGATCACCATCAGACTCTTGGCTGTGCAAAACTCACAGCCAGGAATGAATTTTTACCTGTATTAATTTACACCAGTTAGAATCATAGAATGGTTTGGATTAGAAGGGAACTTTAATGATCCTCTAGTCCAGCTCCCCTGCCATGGGCAGGGACACCTTTTATAGACCAAGTTGCTCAAACCTTAAAAGACAATGTTACAAGTTGTACCAAACCTTAAAAGACAGGCATCACACCTGTCACCTCCTCCTATCCTGAGTCTGCATTCCTACCACATATTTTCCATAGCCCACTCTGGACCCTTGCCTCCTTGGCTTTCTCCTCTGCCAAGCCTGGGCAAACAATGCTTCAGGTTCTGCCTTTGTAGTGATATTTTTTCTCTACTGCACTGCTGCCCAGCAATAAAACACCACTTCCCTCTGAGAAGGATCCAAAGGACATGTTTTTGGCCTTTTGTCCCTCTTCCCCCAGCCCAGTGCCACCAATATGCTTGTCAGCTCCATTTTTTTTTTTACTGAGAGGTAGCACTGACTGACCAAGGTGCAGGAAGGATGGAGAGACAGTAACACCAGTTAGACTGATGGATCTCATTACTCTATCTCCAGTGCTGTGGGGTGAGAGGGACGCAGTTCGGAGAAGACAACTCAAAGGAGAGGCAGCGCTGAAGGTGTAGGGAGGTTCAGGGATACAACAGAACACAGTCATACCGCAGCATCGCCTCTCCCTCCCCCCATCCTGCTGGCTGTTCCCTGGAGCTGCAGCACTGTTGCTTACAGAAGGTGAAGTCCAAGACCTAGCAAGAGCTGCTCACTGTTTGAGAGCTACTGATTCACACCACCAAGAATGACACAACGGCCATGTGTGCAGAATACTCCAACTCCATACCGCTGTGCAATCAAAATATCAGTGTGAAAACTACATACACATTTGAACTTGTGAATGAACACAGCAAAATACTGAAATTACACACAGTACATAATGCCAGTTCTTCCTTCAGGGGTAAAAAAACAATACAGACACACAGAGACAGAGAGAGATGTTTGATGCACTAAAATAAATTATATTAGCAAGAAATCAGGTTTTTTGTCCATTTTTTGTTGTTCCCTTTGAGAACATACTCTTTCTCTCATCTTTATAAAGCCATTTTCTTACAACCTTAGACATGTATTTTCAAGCTTTGTGCTGATCCAGAACTTCATATAGCTAAAAAGTTCTCATGAAAAATATGAAAAAACACAGGGAAAATATGCACCATTCCTGCATCTTAGCACAGCAAAACTTGCCGTGGGACTACCTGATCCTACACCATTTTCTCCCCGTAGGTTTTCAAAGGCATAGTGCTCAATTTTGATTAATGTTACATTTAAAAAAAAAGGCAAATCTATTACAATAAGAGCTAACATCTAGTATGCAAAGTCTGTAGGGTTGGAACAACCACTGCCTGGCCCTCTTCAGTGGAACAGAAGTATACAATTTTGCTGACGTGTACCCAAAGCAATCACAGAATGGAGATCATACAATGATAGAGAGCCAAACAGAAAAGAGAAAGGGACAGTACCGATTCCTGATTTTTAGCATCAATCTCAATTTGCGTCTTTATTTTTTACCTAAATCAAATTTTCTGATCCAAAATTATTAATAAAAACATACCGAAGAGAAAATTCCTGCCCTTGCAAGAAAATGAGTATCAGGGTACACAGTAGGAAAGATTCCTACAGAAAGGTGTTTTGGTTTCAGGATTTCCAGACTCATTAAAGAAAAATTATAAGGAATTTTAAAACATCAGGTAATTCTTCCAAAAATAACATTTTAATGTGGTTCTTTCCTTCACAGTACCAAAGTAATGTTGTTTAAACTCAACAGATTGAAGGTGGTGTTCTTGACTGCCTATTTTTCTGAAGCAGATATGAAAAGCAGCTCACCTCCCAGGACCATACCGGCCTGACAGCACTTCCTCAAGCGACATGCTGGACAGTTCTTCCTACGAATTTTATCGACTATGCAGTCATTTCTTCCAGCACATAAATAGTTGTGCTGCCCTGTAGGCAAGAGAAAAACAGGATTAATACTATGTTTTCTAACATGACAAAATTATTTCTGTGTATAAATGTTCCAAAAATAACAGAGGATTAAAAAAAAAAAGTATACTAGAACCATTAAAGGACAGACTCTTTCATTTCATGCTAACTTTCAAATAATCAAGTGTTCCTATTTAAATATAATAACTTATTTGGCCTGTTTAAGAGTGAACCTTCCCATCTATGAAATTCTAAATTAATTAGCAGACAGTATGAACTGCTTAAATTATTGTACTATCAATATTTCTTAAGTAAATCAAGCATGACGACAGACCAATTTGTTTCTTCCAAATTTATTTTTAAGTTATTGTTCGTGATTTTAAAGAACTTAACTAAATTTTGCTTGGATTGATGTGGAGTTTCCGAGTGAAAACAGAATGAAGATGTTGTGCAAAAAAGAGCCCTTTAAGCAGAGTAAATTACCTCTGATGGCGAAGCAGTTTTGTACTAGATCTCTTGAAACACCAGCTGAACAGATGCAGCCAACACAGCCAAAAAGGACAAACAGAAAGAGGCTGTAACTTTTTGGTTTAGGTTACCTCTCAGTTTATTGTTTAATTCTGAAGGACTCAGTTAGGAACGGCGTTATTACTGTATTAAAATGGAATCTTTTTCATGAAGTTAGCTTCCAGCAGAGCAAAATATAGAATTCAGCTAATATCCTGACATTCTTTTGAACACAAATTTCAATGATATTCCAAATTTCACTTAAAGAAAATGAAAAAGTATACTTTTATGCTTTAGTGTAATATTGATAATTTCTGCATTTGATTTTAATTCTGTGTAAGTAAACAAAGCTAAGTAAGTACGTAAGTAAGAAGAAATCAAAGTTAATTTTCACATATCAAATTAAGTCCAGGTTTACCCTATAAGGTTTAACCTCGAAATTCTGCCTGTTTGTGCACATCATCCTCTATTCATGTTGTATTTTCAGTTTCTTGCCAGTATCTAGCATGAAAGCAACAACAAAAAAGTATTTATTTTGACAGCAACAAAATGGATCAGCAAAGTATGGACAAAGTACAGAAGTACCAATATCATGGATAGTTCCTTCATGGCATATTGTGGATGTGGACCTCCAAATATAACAGACATCAATACCAAACCTTTTAAATTTTCATTAATTTCTAGACCAGTATGACTCTGAGTTAGCCATCTGATGTCACCAGTGGCAAACAAATCTGAAATTATCATTCTACTCAGATGCTGTTATTCAGCTTGCTTTATACCCCTATTCTGTCTTGTCTCTGCACACAGTAAAATGAGCAACTGTTCACCAATAACTTTTCTCCACAGGAGAAAAACAAACTGAAAACAAATCCTTAGATGAAAACACAGAAGAAGGAACGTTCTGTTTTAACAAAAGAAAAGAGATAGTGCTAAACCATGTGAAACAACGCAGTTTCTGTGCTAACTTTTTTTTTGATAATTAATTTACTTCTTACACATATCTTTAAGAACAAGTTGGTTTGTTTTAGTGAAAGAAACCTGATGGCCTGAAATTCATTTTTATAACAGTTTCTATTTTTTTTAAGAAAACAACAGGTAAATAACAACAGTTGCCTCACACACTGCCTGGCATTTAAAAAGTATTTAGTAATGCAGTAAATCAAAAGAAATTCTCATTCACTTTCTCCCATGAATTCTAATCCTGGATTCCTTCTTACAGGAAACATTACCAAAAATAACCAAATAAATAAAAACCTGCCTTGCTTTTGGCAGCACACCAGGAAGCAAAACACTTATTTTGAACACATCTTCCTTGGGATTATTTGCAGTTTTTCCATGTCCTCCTTTGCCTTTATTAGTGACAAAAGCATTCAGACTTTTGATAAGAAACAACAGTTTTAAAACTCTGCTAGTTTAACTAAAATCTTCGAAACATCAGATTACCTCTGCACTGCGGCATTCTGATGCTTTATGGTACAGCTAATTTAGAAAGGAATGCTTAAGCATAGGTTAAGTTTTGTTTGTGGGTGTCTTAGCTTGGGGGTTTTCTTTGGTCCCCAGAAAAGCATCTCTGCTGGACCTCTTTCCTAGGGAATCCTTTGAGTCTACACAATATGGTCTGAGTCCATGTAACCCATGTCCATTGCAAGACCAGGAAATGGGACTATGTATTTCCAGTATGGCAGTAAATGCTCACAAGCAGCTCACAATACTACAGGCATTCAAGTATTTTGAATATCATTGTACTTTTCCCCCTACTATGATGCAGAAAAATGCTGATCTACCAAAGCCAATGCCATACTGTGAAATATTACTCTTCAGGCACTCAGCGAACACTGCTTATACTTTTTAGAATGATGTCAGTATTTAGAATTTGCTCAGGATGTGATTTGCGTACTCAACACCCAAGTGGGTGCTCTAACTGCTAAAGGAGGCTAAGGAGCTTGGGTAGAAGCAGTAATGGCAACACTGTTCCTGCTGGAACAGGAAATTATCTGAAAAAAACAAAAGTTAACAGCTTGAGTTATACTGATACAAATTTAAATAGCCTCTATTATTTATATAATAGTGTTTAAATATTATGCATCTAAGATTAAGCATTACAAATCAAACTGTAAAATTTAAAAGTTACACTTCTAAATTTAGCTACAGCTCCTAAAAACCTCTTCATAATTTAGGGATTATCATCAGATCCAACTTCCACTTAACTGAAAATGCATTAATTACTTCATTATTACATAACAACTGACAAACTGCTTATTATAAATCAAAGATTGAACAAAATTTTTCACATTTGAAAAACAAACTGTAAATGAACCACAATTATGAAAACTACTCTTCAATGTTCACAAATTCTAGAGTTTAAGATTAGACAGGATTAAATAATCTCTCTGTGAGAGAGATCTATGTCCAGTGCATACCATGGAAGAAATTAAGTCTGTTACTGGAATTTAGGCACAGTACGAATTTGCTTTGATCTTCAAAAAGCGGGTATTATTTCATTCCTATTTATTTCATAAATTGTATTTACAAATCTAATAACAACCAGCGAACCAACCTTTATTATATCTTCACCTAGTATATTTCTTCTATAAAGCCTCTATGATACTACTATTAAAAATAAAGAAGAAAAAGCCAAAACCCTGCCAACCCAACCTTCCCATGAAGATTATGGTGATAAAATTTCAGGCACTTCTTGATTCTGTCAATCACTTCCTTGTTTTCAAGACTATAAAAAAGCCACAGTCATATCCTGCACTTGAATTACGCCTTCATGTGAGCCTTCCACTCAGCTCGCCTCTATCCAATCTCTCCCCAGCACCTCCCGTCCCAAAGTGTATTTCATTCATTCTAATTCAGCTGCAACTTATCTGGAAAACACAAAAGGTTTAATTATATGGTACTTTTCATAGTCTCATCTGTCAGAGATTTTTTTATTATCTCAGTCATCTGATTGGATCTCATATCTATAGAGAAATCTGAGTAAATGTTCTCATCTGAAACCATCTCTACCATTGTGCACAGCTGGGTTCTGAGAAACTGCTACTTACTTGACACAAATATTTAAGTGGCAGCAACCAGCTGAAGGACAGATTATGTAAGCAATGTAAAACATGCCAGATGTTAATTTCAAAATTATGGGACAATATTTAGTTAGATGAAGCTGTTTGGAATGTTTTAATAGGATGCCAAAACATTTATTTGAAAATACATTTGCTGTATCTCAGTCTTTAGGATCATCTAGATTTTAACTGACTGGCTTCAACATGTGAGCATTGCAGCTACATGAAATGCATGTACTAATAAAGTATCCAAAGACCCCTGTCAAGATAAAATTTCTGTTCAATTGGTAGTGTGTCATTCAGTATCTTTTATATGACTACTGTCATTAAAACCAGGGAAAAAAAAACAGTAGTAGTCTAAACACTAGAGCACAGGTCAGAAAGTAAAGATTGACATTTGTGTTTCTTACAAAAATATGAATCTGGCAACTGCCACTTTCTCAGAAGTCTTCATCCAATGTAAGTTTCCTACATATGTTTACTTTTCACCTCTTTTTGAAAGTGTATTGTAGCGTGCTCTCGACATACCAACGTATCAGCTTGTGACCTAGATTTAATTGAGAATATGGAGAAAATACAGACATGATTTCATCTGTTACTCGTATTTTCCAGATTCTTGTAGGACAGTATTTTTCTTAACCTCCATCAAAATCCATTTGTGTTACCAAAGTCGGAAGTCCTAATGCAAACAGGCAAATACAATTTTAAGCGCTATAAGGACTATCGCTATACAGGCAGGTTTGAGTGGTCAAAATGGCAATGGTGCACACACAAACACGATCACAGGTTTTATCATTAAAGCTGCACAGATCCTGCTCCAGCAGTGAGACATTTTAATCCAAACACTGCTGGAAGTAGCACGTACAGTATCGTTAAAAACTGCGATATTAACTTAGCTCACTGACATGCTTTAAATCACTTAAAATCCCTCGAGTAAGCTAATGAACTGCAGAGATTTTGCAGATGTGCAAAATATGGACAACATAAGGCCTTATCTGCACCAGGGGTATCACATGCAAGCAATGAGTTATTTGGGTAAGTGCATCTGTGCTGTACTGCTGCCACCCTGCATAGAAGCAAAGCACATTTTTGCAAAGCCTCAGATCCTCCTGTCTTCAAATAAAAGTAGGTTTTCAAATCCTTTTTCTCTCTCCCATATGTGATTCTGCCTGTATCACTCTTAACAGGCAACACTTTTGTATAAAATCATCCTATCCCCACCCCTGGTGGACTGTTCTTTGCAAAAGGTATCATGGTGTTTTATTTAGTCTAGTTTTAGATTTGTGTCTAAAAGCTGAAGGTATCTATGGCATCTCTTTGAAAACTATGTTATTGCCAAATGTCTCCCTATGTCAATTTTTTGCTTCCTGAGAGCAAGTCTCCAAGTTTTGCTCACTAATTTACTACCGATATGCTTTAGCTCTTACAATATTTTTCAAAAATACAAAC